GCCTATAATATTAATTCCAATAGAAATAAAGAAATGATAAGACTGTCTACAAAATGGTGTCAATGTCTGTTTTCGATTATTATCTAGTAATTACTACTATTTAAGCTACGATTTCCTAAGTTAGAAAGCTACATATATGCATGACTATTATCAACGATATCTTATCAATGATTTCTTGCTATTGATATTTATCGACTACACATACATGTTAATACAATTCCATGAAATTTGTTACATATACAACGTACAATTTTCAAAATATCATAAAAGCTATCAATTTCAAATCTTTTAATTACTAAATAAACCTTTACCTTGAAGGAGACACTTATCTATTGTGAACATGTAATTTTACTGCAAAAGCATAACAATTAAAATTTTTAATTAATCAATTGGAAAATATTCAGAAAAATATTCGTCAGGTTTTTTTCATATCAGCAATCGTTCACAGTGAATAAGTGAAAATCACTCTCAAATAGATAGTATTATACCTATATTTAGTCTATCTCGAAAATTTATATGAGAGGCACAGGAATAGCGTAAATTGGCGAATTTTGTATTTCTCAATAGCAAAAATTTGAAAAATGAAAAATAATGAAAATAAATCAAAAATAATAAAAAATTTCGTATTTTTCAAATTTTGTCGTTGAAGAATACAAGATTCGTCAATTTACTTCAACTTTGAGGGCGATTATCACTTCTTCAATGTGGACGATTACCGACAAAAAAAATACTAAATATTCTAAATAAGTGTCAAATATTGATACTAAAAATACTAAATAAATTTCAAATATTTATATTAAAAGTATTAAATATGCGTCAAATGTTGATATTAAAAATACTAGATAAGCGTCAAATATTGATATTAAAAATACCAAACAAGCGTCAAATACTTTTTCCAGTACTACCATACACCAAAGTATCATCAAAATCGGTGATCATCACTCCGAAATGTTCCCTCGTAAGAATGTTCACCATACGAAACAGCAAACCACTAAATTTTATCATTGTTACTTCAAATAATTATGTTTAACGTACGTGCACCGTCACTGTCGGTTATAAAAGAAAAGTGGAACGCGTTATAAAAGGGTTCGATGTCGAGTAACCTCGTTTTATGTTGATACTACGCGTTCGTTGCGTTTACAATTCAAGAACTCGACATTTCTCATATTATGTAGTGCACGCAGGAAACGGATAGGCGAACCAACGATTATTAGGAAGGGTAATTGTTCGGTTTTCTGATCTACTTTCGAATTGGAACGCGAACGATCGATTTTGTTCCTGGATTAGAATGTCAAGGGAAAGCGACGCGATGCACGTGCAATGTAACGTTAATTTGAAGAAAAGGGACGTCCATGTTT